CTGATCCTCTCATCCTTCACTCTGTCTCCACTCTCTGTCCCTGCCCTCTGATCCTCTCATCCTTCACTGTCTCCCCTAGTGTATCCTGGACTAGTTCTCCTCCCTCAGCAGTGTGGAGTTTGTACACGGGGCTGGGTGTGATAGCTGTAGAAACTGATCTCCTCTCCCTAGCCCAGTCCTCCATTGTATCATCGGTTGTGCTTCTTGGTTCAGTGGTTTCTGTCTTCTGTCGCTTTGCCCAGTCGAGCCAGTGGAGGGCGCCCTGGGAGAGCCTCTCAAAAGCAAGTACACTGTATCTCTCTGTCCCTGCCTGTCCTTCCTCTGCTTCTAGCGCAGCACTGTTGTCCTTGGGTCGGCCCAGTTAGGGAAAGAATTTCAGAATCCCGAAAGAATAGCTTTAAAGATATATCAGCAAGGGTGTGTTTGACTTATGGAAGTTCCCTCAATCATTTGGTTCCGATGTCTGTGACCCGCTGCAGTCGGCTCAGGACGGTCCAACTGCAGTCGGCTCAGGGGACAGGGGACAATAGTTGTGCTCATTGAACATTGGATCCACTGCCTGCTTCGAGGCTCATCATGGATGTCGCAGGGTAGAGAAGATTGCTTGTAGAAAAGGACTTTGCTCGTCTGCTTTTCTCTCACAACCGAGGGAACGATTTGATCTACTTCTGATCAGTTTGCAGGTCCAGCTTCTTTGCTCTCCTTCAGAAGTTACACCACTGTATCTCCAGAATTGATTTCAGCAGTTTAAAACTGGTACTAAACACCACCCTGAAACTGAGTGCAGTGGGGTCAGGATGGTTTCGACACTCCAGGCTGCACATACATCTGCAGGACCCATGGGAGTGAAAAGGAGCTGAAGCTCGTCACTCCGGAGGAATGGATCTGTCCTCCATCCCACAATGCACTGCGGCTGCTGGCTCTTACCCGTGCTTGTTGTGCAAAGGGGGCAGATCAGGTGTAGTTGTAGCTGCTCCTCCCCCGTGTGCAGTTGCGGTAGCAGCTGGTGCTGGGGCTTTGTTAGGAGTATGGAGCGCCCATCAGTTTACTCTTCCTTCTCATCCTTGTGCCAGTCCGCCCAGCCGAGCTGGAGGAGGGGGCTGGAGACGTGCCAGACAGAAGCAAGTACACTCTCTCTGTGCACGCATTGCCTTAGTGTAGTGCTGACTGCTGAACTGACGCCTGACCCTCACTAGAGATTTCTGAAGGCACTAGACCATCATAGAACCAACCCCCCCCCCACCCACACTCCAGAAAAACCGCCATGATTTTCTTGTTTTGTTCACTTTCCTCCTTAGTCATTCATCATCTGTGTGTTTTATCCTCTGCCTTTTCCTCTCTACAGCCAACCCAGCTGAGGGCCCCATTGGAGCACCAGTGAAAAGCAAGTACTCCCTCCCTCTCCCTCTCTTGGTGTAGTAGTGGTGTGCAGTGTCCAGTCACAGCCCCAGCTATAGCAGCAGTGATGTGTTGTCATCTTTATTGCAGGGGTAGTAATAACAATAGGTGAGGACACCAGGTGTAGAGGGTGTAGTTACAGCACAGTTACAGTGGTAACAGGAGTTCAGTAGTAAAAGTATTAAAATATAAAATAATGTGTAAAAACATCTTATTTTCATTTTTGATCAGGCACCCACGTGGACAACTACAAGGCCCAGTGGTTTGAGCGCTGCGAGGACCCCGTGACCCGTGACGCCACCCACATTTATAAGGGGGGTTACTGGGAGGCCAAGGCGCTACAGAACTGGGAAACCTGTCCTGACATCTTTTGAAGACACCCCAAAATACCCCCTTTATCTGCCCCCAACCACCTCTCTTAACTGCCCCAGGGAGAGAGAGGACTGTTGGCTGTCTCGACATATTCTGAAGGAACACCCACCTCAAATACCCCACCTTACACTACCCCCCACCCACATGCACAGCTCTAACTCAATAATGTCTGGGTAAATAAGCACCTTAAATAAATGCCCCTTTTTAATACCCCGGCATCCCTTGACTGCCCCAGACATCTGAATACACGTTCCTTTTCCTCTGTATTAAAACAGACTTTCCTGTGTAACTACTGCACATTCACCTCTAACAATCCCTTTACTTACACCGGTGCAGCTCAACCTACACCTAGTGTCTTCTAACTACCCCAAATCCTCTCGTCAGCTGCCCCTCCCCCAGCACACACACCCCTCTCTCCCTTCCTGGTGTAGCACAGGGGCAGAGCAGAGATGGGGGCTTAGCTAATTAGGACAGGGGTTCAATCCTGACTGTGTTTCACTAATGGCTGTCTGAGGGTAGGGGGTGTAGTTTTGTGTGGTTGTGTTTAGGGAGGGGGGGGGTGTTTGTGTGTGAGTGTGTCAAATTTACTCAAACCTGACTGTATCTATAACTTCTGGGGAAAATAATTAACAAATAAAACATAATGAATCGAGAACAGTTTAGTGTGTGGCGGGATGGGTATGGAGTCCAGCCAGGCTTTCTCTGTGGTGTGTTAGAGCAGAGAACAGCACAGTACACAATACAGACTGATATTGGAGAGGGGCTATGTACATGCAGACTCTGTATGTAATGGACACACTGTATACACACACCTGGAGTAAAGACTCTTATTGGACACACCTCAGTGCTGCTTGAAGATTTGTGAACCCCCATTCTAGTTCTTGAAATTTTACATTTTTTACTGTGGAATCCTCATTTAATCAAAAGTAGTCATTTCTTTCTAAAAGAAAGGATTTATATTCACAAATTCTATGTATTTTTAGAGGATTTGATGCATACCACAGAAAGAAATAGGTAAAAACTAGTGCATGTACAATAATAAGTCACCCACAAGGTTCATTAGCTCTGTCAATGAGGCAAGTATGAGCAGGTGCTACAATAATTGGGTACAAAGTTAAACAGTCAAAGAGCCGTTAAAAAGAAACTCATCCTTTTGGCCACAACATAAAACTTGCCACATTTGTCAAAAAACTAACACTGCCTACTACCAAAACCACCTTATCCCCTCTGTCAAGTCTGCTGGAGGGAGTGTTGTGGTTTGAGCCAGATCTTCTGCCCACGGACCGGGAGGACTCGCCACCATTGAAGGAACTATGAATTCCGAGTCATGCCAAAATATTCAGGGAAGACCTGACGTTTGGGAGTTCAAGTTGAGCCGAAAAGGGGTCTTCCACCATGTCAACGACCCTAACCATTCCGCAAACAACCCCCAAAAAATGGATTAAGAGGAAGATCTTTTGTGCTTTGGGATGGCAGAGTCCAGAACTCGACTCGATTGAAATGTTGTGCCAGGACCTGATGCGGACTGTTGGTGAGGAAGAAAAGTTCGGCAAAGCGGATATGAGAGACTGATAAGTAACGCTAGAAAATGTTTGGTTGTTGTCATTGCTTGTTAAAGGATGTGTCACTGTTTATTGACTTAAAACATCTTTTAGTCTTTTAAGACATAAAAGATGAAGGGTTCACATACAGTATTTCCAAGCAGCACTATACACACCTGCAGTGTACAGGCTCTTATTGGACACACTGTATAGACACGCCTAGAATACAGCCTCTTGTTGGACACACTGTATACACACGTCAATGAGGGCTGCCAAAAATATTGAAAGCAGTGGATTCCACGTAGAGGTGGCTCATGTTAATTTAAGAACATCACATTGTGATTACTGTATGTTTAGGTGATATACAAGCCTGGTTGCCTATAATCGTGGCCGCCAGACAGAGGCTTCACTCACTTTGAAAGAGAGGTGAGTGTTGGGGTGTGTTTTGCTCACCGTTACTGGTGTTGCACATTAGCAAGTGTGTCCAGTGGGGCACACGGTCCAGGCAGTACATTACTAAACCGTTATGGTCAGATCCTAAAACAGGCCTTGGAGGACAGGAGTTAAATCTGGGCCCCTTTCTCACTCCCACAATCTGGGATAGTGTATCTGCAGGGCACCAAGTCTTGGTCTCTGTTTATCTTTTCCTGGTCTTTTTAAAGCAGCAGCACCTTATAAGCTGAGGGAAGCTTTTGAACTGGTCCAATTAAACTTCCAGCAGCCATATCACCCTGCAACTCACAACTGGCAGCCCACTGAAGCTCAGCAGGTGTGAGCCTGGTCAGTACCTGGATGGGAGACCTCCTGGGAAAAACTAAGGTTGCTGCTGGAAGAGATGTTAGTGGGGCCAGCAGGGGGTGCTCACCCTGCGGTCTATGTGGGTCCTAATGCCCCAGTATAGTGAAGGGGACACTATACTGTAAACAGGCACTGTCCTTCAGATGAGATGTAAAACCAAGGTCCTGACTCTCTGTGGTCATTAAAAATCCCAGGGTGTTTCTCAAAAAGAGTAGGGGTGTAACCCCGGTGTACTGGTCAAATTTCCCATTGGCCCTTACCAATCATGGCCTCCTAATAATCCCCATCTATAAACTGGCTTCATTACTCTGCTCTCCTCCCCACTGATAGCTGATGTGTGGTGAGCGTTCTGGTGCACTATGGCTGCCGTCGCATCATCCAGGTGGATGCTGCACATTGGTGGTGGTGGTGGAGGGGATCCATTACCTGTAAAGTGCTTTGAGTGGAGTGTCCAGAAAAGCGCTATATAAGTGTAAGCAATTATTATTATTATTAAACTGATGACAAGACGATTTCGCTTGTTAAGAATCGAGCTGGAATGAAAACCTGCAGACAGACTGGTCTCCAACAATGACATACACGCACACAATGTAAAACCCAGGATTGTTTTGGGGCCAAATTGCACACATTGGGATAATTCAGTTGAGAAGTAACTTTCTCTCTTTCATGGTTCTTTATCTTGGAAAGAGCTCTACAGCCAGAACTATCAGACTATCAACACTTTACAGCTGGATAAGACCCTCTGATCTATTAACTAGAAACCACACTGAAAGAGACGGGCCAGTTGGTCTCTTTCATTTATAATGTAGATCTTAAGGTAAGTAACGTTCCAAGACAGAGGCTGAAGAACAGCCATGTGGATCTCTTGGTAGACAGAACATTCCTCCCAGAGACCCCAAGGTGGCAGTATTGCTCACATATTTGGTTTGTTGGTTAATGAACAGTTGCAAGCAACAGTACTGCCACCCTTCATTGGAAAGAATGAGACACTAAATTGTTCAGTTTAGTACATACTAACTGATTTGTTAATTACAAATTGAATTCAGATTTGCTTGAGCACTTGTCCAGATGGGTAGCAGAAGCATCTCTAAGAGATGTGAGAAGCAGTTGGTGCAGAATTCAGATTTCAGACTTCTGTGGCCGGATCAGATCATGGGTTAGGGTACAAGTGAGAGGAGGCCACTAAGATACTGGGAACAAGTCCTCCAAGTGTGAAAACACCAACCAGAAAAGTTCAGAGTAGCGATCAAATCTAATCTGCATGTCTTTTTGGAGGTGGGGGTCCCAGAGAAAATCTGGGTGAGCCAGGGGAGAACATGCAAACTCCACACAGACAGGAATCCAAGACCAGACCTGAACCCAGAACCTAAGAGCTCTCCTTATGAACATCTAAAGATGTGCTATAGAAGAGGGCTTGTGGTTGAGACGTTAATTACTGAACAAGCACCATTGTCTTAGAAAAAGTGTGATGCTGTGCCCGGGGGAAGTCCAGACCACAGGATGTCTTTAACTCAACCTCATGGGTTCAGCAGCAACCCTTTAAAATTCACATGTTGTTTCTTCTAATCTTGGAATCAAAGAAATATTACTCACAATTTAGTATAGACCACAGTTCTAAAGCACCACACTGACTGAATGTCTTTAAAAAAACAGATTACTGTGTCTAGTTATGTTAAACCAAAGAGAAAATAATTCTAAGTAGACTGGATATACACCCATTCTGATATTTCTTCTAAAATCTTTATTCTCTGTGCAGAGAACTTTGACCCCGGAGACTTGTGGATCATCTGCAGTTCTGAGAAAAGGCATTTCTGATAATTAGTGAATGTCAGGGCATTTCTGGTTTTAAGATGGAACTCTCCAAATAACTCTGCTGACACAGTATTGTTTCAGCAAAACGAAACTGGCCTGCTTTGTGGAAGATGCAACATTTTTTAAGTATTTGCAAAATATGTAGTTCTATTGATTTATTTATATATATCATTGTTTTTTTACAATAGTCACATTTACAGTAACACTGTTGTGTCAGGGAATTTGTGGTTATACTTCTACTGGAATTCCAAGTTCACAGACTCTGTGGGAATGACTATGAAGTAAAATTATGATTATATACCGTACACGATGATAATGTTCATGATTATTATTATTATTTTAAATTGCTGTTGTTCTTGTCATATAATAGTGCTGAGAAAACATTTGTGAACGCCTTAAGATTTTCACTTTAACATTTTGAAACTTATTTTGCAAACATTTTTAGATCTCAGTTACATTCGTTGATAAAGCTAGCCTGATGAAACCTCAAATGATGTCACACCAGATCCATGTGTGACAAGTATGTCAACCTTTAGATTCAGCAATGGTGGCTCCCCCTTGAGCAGCAGTGACGGCAAAGAATCTTGTTTCCTCTAGCCATTGATCGGTCTCCCACATTGGTTTTCAGGAATTTTGGAATATTCTTCCCAAAAAAGCCTTCAACTGCGTGATGATTGAGGGCTGGACTTTGACTAGGCCACTATAGAAGGGGGAATTTCTTCTTCTGCAGCCATTCATTTGTAGATCTGCTGGCATGTTTGACATCATTGTTTTGCTGCAGGACCCTTGTTTGATTCAGCTTCAGGTCACAGACTGATGGCCTGCCATTCTCCTCTAGAGTCTTCTGATGCAATGCAGTATCATGGCTGTGTCAACAATGGCAGCAAAACGACCCCAGACTATCACACTCCCACCACCAGGCTTGACAGTTGGAATGAGGTTCTTCTGCTTGAAAGCAGTGTTTGGTTTTTGCCAACTGTTTCTCTTTGAGGACAAAGAGTTCTACCTTTGACTGGTCTGTCTAGAGAACATTGCTCCAGAAGCCCTGTGTATCCTCTGCAGTTCCATGAAAAAGTGCTTTTGAACTTGTGCATACAGTACTTTGCGTAATAGCAGACCTTCATGTGGATTCTAGTGATGTATAAAGGGAGTCTAAGTGAGCAAAGAACACCAAACATTGGTGCTTGTTAAATTAATTTCCTAAACAAAATCCAACAAATCCAGCCTTCAACTTCAACAACCTCAACAAATTCAACAACCTTCACCCTTGGTGAAAAAGTTAACACCCCCAAGTTCAATCAATTCAATTGAAAGGATAACTAGGCCCAGCTGTGTAAGTACTTTATTAAGCAATCAGGACTGATTTGGGCCAGCCCTGGTCTATATTAAACTCACAAACCTCCACTCTCATCCCATCATCACAGTGAGGTTTCCTTGGTGGGGTGACAATGTTCTTGAACCACAAGACACTCTCCATTTGCAGACATCTGTATGGCAATGGAGTGGTGGAGCCCCAAGTCAATAGAAATAGTTTTGTATCTCTTTCCAGAAAGAACATCAAGACCTATTCTGAGGTCCTCAGAAAGTCCTTAGATCATGGCATGACTTGTTTCCACACGTCTGTTTGGTGAAGACCAACCTCATGTTTCTCATATTTATACAGGGTGGGACTGTCCAAACTCAGCCCCCAAGATCTACATATTTATTTAAACACTAATTATCACCTTCATTGAACTTCTGAAACTAGAGGTCCCCTTACTTTCAGCTGTTTGGTCAAATTGTAATAACAATGAAACTAGCCGATAGAAATAAAGAGATAGCGTGCTTAGAGCTTTCGCTTTATCTTGCCTGGCTGAGGAAATGAAAGTGCTGATGCTGCTGATGTCTGCTGTATGAGGTGCGAACAAGGGAAAGCAGCTCTAGCAGTGATACTGGGGGGCTGCGGCCACACTGGAGAGGGCAGGGCTGTGGTGTTAGTGAGCTTTTATGCACAGGAAAGGGAGAAATTTACACCCTTTGTATAAAGTACCCCCCTCTTTTCTTGGTTTTGAAATGCACGTTAAAGTAACTTCCACTGTGATAACCAGTTTGCTGGCTTGACGTAGTCAGTGTCTTTGTGGATTTTAATTACTGCTATCAGATCTCCTCTAATCTGTTCAAGACTAGAGTTTCAGTTCCTTTATCCTGTCAGTGTCAGACACTCCCTTCAGACTAAAGAGACTCAGTTCCTTCAGCCTGGCAGTGTGGGAAACTCCCTTCAGACTAAAGAGACTCAGTTCCTTCAGTCTGTCAGGTGTTCTGCACCTGAATCCCAATGAGAGAGCCAATCAGTTCATCGCCCCTCTCTGGAGAAATGCTTCTTGCTCTGTTACCACACACCTGCTCTGAGCCTGCTGTAAGAAACCCAGAACTACAGGTCTTTTCGCTTTTACGTGAAAAACCTTTTTCCTGGAAACGTTTGCCTTCCCCTGAATGCCAGTAGGTTAGTTTGGGTTCTTTAAATTATCACAACACCCTACTCCAACAGAATGATGCAGAACTTCAGGACCCTGCCTCAGGGT